GCAATTATCACTAAGTATGACAAACCATTAGTTAACAACAGTCTGTGGGCGGATGTGTTGACGCTTGAAATTGTGACGTACGCGTTCATGACCCGTAATTAATTACGAGGATTATGTTTAATAATCAATTAGCCTTGTCGATTTCAGTATCTCATAATTAAGTAATGTTATTACTACAGTTGAATTCCTCCATGTTATTGGCTGCGTGCATTACCAATAAGCTTTCGTGTACCTTTGTATCTTTGAAGTAATATTATTTTCCTATTTAACAAATTGTTGAAGTTGTTTATTTGGAAATCGCTGAAGAAGATACACTGAGTTAAAAAATATTGAAAAAGCATACCATCAAATAATTCGTGATTTTTTTTGCGCATTATCGCTAAATCGATGCGATGGTATAGATAATGAGTATCTAATGGGGCATTCAGTCATTACGTGTCTCCAATGTATAAGAAAAATCTAGATACTGAGGAGCGGTTAGCGTGCCTTGGCGTAATTTTTAGACAATTGTTCACCAACTTCTCCAACGTTTAAAACCCCCCAGTGGGGCAATTTGCCACGCTGTTATGATCCAACTGAAATATACAAGGCCCTCATCTGGGCTAAGAGCAGTAAGCTCCTCTGCCGTTGAATGTTACCATGCATTCGAGCTGTTGGTTAAATAAATTGCTCGTAAATTCAACAAAACATGCATATACGTATTTTATTTTGGTTCATTAAAATTCATGAGTATTAGCGATTTTTTTTTTAAAAAGACAATTAAATTCGTGTGTACGTAATGTGTTCGCCGATTAGTAATTCAAAGCACTATGTCTTGCAACGATTCAAATTGACCTTGTGCTCCTTTACAATAAACACAAGTTAGCATCATAAAGATTAAATATGACGATACACCGTGATTTATCACATACATCGAAATCAATCTATAAATTTTCTTTGATCCCGACTGAAAAACATACTTCCCAAATTTTAATACTCGAAGAATTCCTTACCCGAGCATCAGAGACCGTTTTTTTCACATTCGAGGTCATATCATTTATGTAATATTTCAATTATGACTCATTTCAATTCAATTACATTAGTGCATACATCGACGAGGGAGTTGTACTAATTTAAAATAATAGTGTGTACAACATTTCTTCTTCTACTGCAACAGTGTTAAAAGAGGGGATTGCAAACTTTCACTAACAATTAGTTCAGTATAGGCAATCCCCAGGGGAATAAATTGAATGAGGTTTTCAAGGTTTTGCATGAAACAAGTACCGTGACGCAATCAACTGTGTTAGAAGTCTAGTAGCTTGTAATTGAAGTGTATCAAAATGCACAGACAGCAAGACGTCGGTTCAGTTTGAGCTGCGCCATAATAAGCAGGATTTAGATGTAGGGAGTATATGCTGTATTTTGTAACTGAGGCGCATGTGCGCCGATATTTCGTTGGAAGCGAGACAGTCGCTAGACTTCTTGTTGCACTTCGCCTAATTAAATGTATGTGGTCTCGTTGGAGATGAAGTGAAGCGTTTCGCAATATTATGTGTGAAAAAGGCAACTGGAACTTTCTCTCGGGAGATGGTGAGAAAAATGCTTGTATATTGCCACGAAAAACAAGCTTAATTTAAAGACGACAAATTTATCGATTATTCCTTCGATATTTTTATTGTAATTGGTTTTCAAAATGCTAGTTAATTTAATTTTTAAATTTGAACTGAATATACCTTTTGTTTGAAACATTATATAATAAATTTAAAGTCTTTCAAGATTTATAATAGTTAACATGCGACAATTTGTTTTGGACAATTGTGTTTTATTTTTTTATATAAATCCCTTGGTCACTTCTTGGATGTGCATTTGATTTAGATAGTACAACGGCATACATTCGAGATTAGTGAAAGATTAACTATATTCCTAACTTATCTTGGATAAGTCTTAAGATATTTAAAATTAATGCCAAGTTGCGCTCGAAATACAGTCTGTGATACAGTGCCTAGTATATATAACCCTTGCGAAGTGGCTTATTCTTCTGAGCACAAGATGCTTTTACCGTCTCAAACCATCTGTTGTATTCATGTTTTCGGTAATAACGATTTCTGTAAGCAACTCTCTACGGATTTCCTTCTGAGCGGAAGCAAGGGACAAGTATTATATAATAGATTTACTTACAGGATCTAGAAATGATATTACGAAATGTGGGAACGTTGTATTTGTATACTGAAATTGTAGAAGTTGAACACTATAATCAAGCAATTACATAGTGACTAAACAATGAATATTAATGAAGCAACTCTGCACATGTATTCTGAACAACTCACCGCTGACCCGTGATGATACCTACTTATGCGCTGACTATTTCGATTTAATTCAAAGCAGTAGACGAGATCAGCATAACCTCTGTTATTAACGATTAATTCTCTAATTTTCACTGTCGACACTGACTACAGACCACAGCTGTTTTACGCGTTCACTGATTTAAATAACTCTATTCTCCCAAGAACAACATCCAAATCATCGGGAAATTATATCCAATGCCACCATGGCTTGTTACGCATTACCACAGGAATTGCTCAGATGTAGCGCTCGTTGATGGCTGCATACGATTTCAATTAGTGGTTGATTTTTAACTTTTTACCCCAAGTGCTTACCTCAGATATAGTGCTAAATAAAAATTGTGTGACCATCTCTTTCTCAATTAGTAGTGTAAGCGGAACATGACCAATGCTCTTTTAATTCATATTCGTGAGTTGATATGTCTCGACTAGTGGGTTTGCACCCATTCCAACATTGAGTCTGTGACACACTCACGCAAGGCAGGGGATGATTCTTATTTGTCGATGTCCAACTGCTAGGTAATATTTTAGCCTGAGATTTACCGAAATTGCAACCGGGCATCAACTACTACGGTACGGTAAGCTAATGTCGGTCAGGTATTTTCTCAATATTAAATCAAGGCACTACGAGCCAAATTTGACACATTCTCGTCTGCCATACAATTTACCGCACTCTAGCAATATACGTAGGCATGCTCTGTATTGCAGATGCTGTCAGATCAATATTCGTAAGCCACGTCATAAAAGCCAATAACCAATCAGCATAATTATTAGAACAAGGACACGATTCGTAAATTCTTCGTCGTTTCAGTTAGAAATTCAAAACCGTCGCCGCTGGCTTGAAAAATATAATTGTATTGGTAAGACGCATGCAAACAACACTCGACCGACATTTGTTTAACAGAGCAAGTCCCTGAACTCGCTGATGTAAATTCGACCCACAACTGTGACAGCGCCATTTTAACAACGACATCATTCCATTCTGATGTTTTTTTAAAGTACATGTTATGTCGAACCACGTGTCGAAACAGTGTGTGTTTTGTTCCATGCTGTTCGTTGAACGTGTTATCATCGTAGACACTTAATTACATAACACTACAGCGCTGTGAGTACGGAGCCAAGCTGGTATTTTATATGACATTTAGAAACAAAAATGTCCCAGAAAACATTCACAGAAATCGCGTTCTATTTTTAAAACCCCAAAGGCATTATTGGCATTCTTGTTAAAAAGCCATATATTCGAGAATTAGATTTAGTTTATGTTACCATAATGTATCCATTTATGTTTAACGGACGCATAAGCAATTGTGTTGAGATGTGAATATTTGACAGGAGCGCTGTGTGGGAAATAACCCCCGGGCACAGCTTCGACAGATTTTTAAAAGCGATGCAATAAATTGAAAAAAAACAATCCTTGTATCTTAGGCTAAGTGTTTCGTGTCAGTTAATCCTAGAAATGTTGCTCAACAATCTTATAAGTACTTGTAAATGTATTCCAACCTCTGCAACATCAGCTCTAGGAATGCCGATCAGGTCAATACTTTCACTTTAAATGTTTTCCGCAAAGTAGAACCAATTGAACTTTTGCAGATGTCGACATAATCGCATCACCTAGCACGATGTATTTAATTTGCATTTATCAGCCAGGTGGCTAACCCGGTTTATAGAAATAACCCAACTCGTCGATGGACTGACAATTTATCAATAATAAATAAAAAAAATAATTTATTCAAATTCAGTGTGTCATATGTAAAATAGCATGCATTAAGATTTTTAGGCGCTCGTTCTGTGTAATGATATGATAATATCAGGCTCGCGGCGATTGTTATCGTTTCCGGTGAATGGATTCTATTACGAACACACATTCATTTGCGAGGTTTTCACTGTTCTCGACTGACATTTTTTTTAAATATTTCTGT